CTCTGAGCCCTTTGGTCCCAGCCCAGAGCACCCTCCTGCACTCCAACCTCTCATCCCCAGCCCCACCCCAGAGCCCGCACCCCCAGCTGGAGCCGCCCCGCGCCCCTGCTCTAGTCCGGAGCCCCCTCCCACACCCTGAACTCCTAATTTCTGGCCCCAACCCACAGCCCTCACCCTCTCCCACACCCCAATCCCTAATTTTGTGAGCATTCATGGCCCGCCATACAATTTCCATACCCAGATGTAGCCCTTAGACCAAAATGTTTGCCCACCCCTGGCTTAACAGGTTCCTCGAAAAGTATATTTAGTTTAAAAAGTTATTGAGGAGTGCAGTCTTTTCTGCTTGATTTTGACTTTAGAAGAAAATCAGGCATGTCAAGCTCCTCCTCCCCCCCCCCCCACTTAAACTTCGAGGACCTGTTTGGGGATCTAGGCATATTTGTGAGCCCTTTTCAACAGCTCAACTTTCATTCTTTTGGCTCTTCTGAAATAATTTCACTAAGTTATCCAGTCATACCCTTCCAGGCTAGATAGGACCTGAATTTCTAATGTTAAAAAAACTAAGACTTTCAGATCTCCTTTACATAACAAGTACAAGAATTTCCAAGAGCCCCCCGCCTTGCACATTACCTTTAAAGCTGCAGAGCCGGCTTTCCTACTGAACATGTCTGCTACGTTTGTTGGTTTAATGCTTAATCTTGTTTCTGTGTGGCTTGCTCAGAACATCCTATGTGGTGTGTGGGGTACAATGAGGAACACAGATTAGGATATAAATTATATCATTTAGGTGAATATATAAAGCTCTTGGGAATCCTGAATAAAAGGCAGCATACAGAAGTAATAATGACATGCCACAGACTTTAGAGTCATTCAAATTCAATAATACTGCGCAATTTTGCGAGAAGGTACAGTGATGATCTCATCCCACATAGCTAAAGAGAGCTGACCTCATTAACAGTCCCAAAAGAAGCCATGTAAGAACAAAGTATCACTTACTTTTGTTCTTCAAATACTAATTTTTAAGTGTTCCTGTTTGTTCTGAAGTGTTTTCAAACCTTTAGCTCCTCCATCTCATTTGAAAGATCAGAACTACAGTGCTGGATTGATGTCTAACTGTAGGAGAGATGGATTCTTCTATGGCATGGGCATCTAACTGTCAATCCTATGACGCATAATCAGTTTGAAGGCTGAAGCTGAATCACTCCAAAAGTATTGTTGACTGCCAAAGAAAATTCAGCCACTGAACTGGTAGAAATTGCTAACAGGTCACCTAGAGACAGCTTGTATTTAAGTGGTAAACCAACTTTAACAGCACTAACTGCCCCCTTATATATACAGGGACTGTTTTCTTCAAATAGACTACATAACAGTTCAGTTGAATTTGAGGAACTAGTGAGCTAAGAGAGCAAAGAAGCTAGTCTTCCTATTTCAATTAACGAAGAATTAAGACCTAGATAAAGCTGTAATATTCTAGAAAGCCTAGTGGGTAACACTAATTACAAAAGTATTTTCTTCTTGGTCATTAGTTTCTCATTTTATTTTAAAACTGATCATTTGTTTTGATGCTGGTCAATTTTTCTGCAAAAGAAGCAATGTGTTGAGGATCAAAGAATACCATAGTTGCAAAATTACTCCAGGTTTGTTTATATTGCCTACATTAGTATCATACATGTCAATCCCACTATGATGATGCACAAGACTGACATAGGAAGTTTTTAACTTGATGACAGAGCTAGTCCTGCAGTAAATATTCACTCTGCCCTCTTTGGGCCCCTACAGCAGATTCCTTTCTGAAACAATGTGGAGTGCCTCTTTTAATTAGTCTTCACCCACCTCACTTCCTTGGTTAGTACCATTAGTTTGCATGGCTGAGATTGATTTTTAAGTTAACCCAGATATGGAAGTGTGGCACTAATGAGCAACAGGAAGAAACCCACATATACCACCATTGTTATAAATATACTACACACACACACACACACACACACACACACACACACACACACACACACACACACACACACACACACAGTACATAGATAATCCCTGAGCTGTTGTGCATTCTCAAGTCGATTAGCAAAATAATCATAAATTCAGTGTTACTTTTCCTACTGTATCCACAAGCACAGATCCAACGGCATATTACAAGCACAGCTCCAGCACGCCCTTGGGCCTGTGCTCGATAAGTTACTCTCCACAGGCCATCAGTCATGAAAAGCCTTGCCTGCAGCTTTGCCCATCAATCTCCTTAAGAGGACAAATTTAGTTTAACTACAATCCTTACCTAATCTAATGCAGTCCCTGGATTTCTCGCTGATCCCACACAGAAAATATAGGTGTTTCCTGCTGCAGCAGCTATACTCTGGTTTCAGTCAGTGAGTTAGAGAAACTTCTGGCAGACAGCTTCCAGTTTCAGGCTCCTCCTATCAGACAGCTCTTCTTAAAGTGACAAAACTTGTAATAGGTCATTTGTCATAACACTTCCCAGGGCTGGTGGCAATTGCATAGCTATTTAATACATTGTTATCATAGAATTTATTTATTTAATTTGATAGTTTTTAATGTACCTTAGTTTTAACAAACAGACTTTAGAACCATTTCTCTTTTATTTAAAGAGACTTCCATTCTGTCACAGAGGTGCATCAATGTGTACTGCTGTTACTTTGGGAAAGTTGGATTATCAGGTCCATGCTGAGAAAAATAACTCCACATAACTATCTGGTCATAACAGTTGTCAAAAACAGTTATAATTACTTATTGCAGCACACCTAGCATATCTCACACAGAAGTCTTTCCTACATGTGAGTAAACTGGGAAAGTTCAGCTGAGTTTCTCTTTAATTCTTCTAGCAGGAGTGGGAAGTGTTTCAGGCTTCACACTGTGGCCCCTGCATTTTACACTGCCCTCGGGAAGGCATGATTCTTGCAGCACCTGTCACTGTGCTGCCACAGCTACTCCTAAGAACACTCACTGGGGTAGAGGTGGAAAGGATTCTGAATGCCATGGGGAAACTGTCTGCAGTAATTTGGGCAAGCTTCCCCTTTGAACTTGAGGACTGAGGAGAGGGAAGCAGGTCCCCACCAGATTCTGACCTTCAGTATAGCCAATGATTGTAGTGTATTGTTCATTTACTGTGTGGTTATAATTAACTAACATGTTATGTCATATATAATTATTGTATGCTAAATAGAGTTAAACTTTAGGATTATAGAAGTATAAGATTGATCAGTATGTAGAGGGAATAAGCTTATTCCTTAATTAACACCTGGGCACACTACAAAATACAACAGGGTATCAGGCAACAAACCCTTGCTCTTGTTCTAATCTATGCACAGCACAGGGGACTCTGAGGTTAGGAAGGAAGTGAGTGAGCATGCTGTGGAAGTGGCACTCCTCTCTTCCTCAGTGTGTTGAGAACTGCATGGGGGCTTAGGGCCTTAGTTAATGTTAATATGGTGATATCAGTGTGCCTCAATAATATTCCTTCAATAGGGTTATTTTACCCAGTGAAGGGAAATGATGCTTACTATAGTTAGTCTTCATTAATTATACATCTGTTGGTCCCTGTAAACAAGTTCAATGTTTATTGGTCAGCAGTGGGTACACAATATTTAATACTTACAGCACTTTCTATGCATAAAGTGCCGTACACATGCTAACTGATCTTCAGCACAAATATTTATCTCAATGGGTGACTATAGGCCTGAATTCCTAACTAACAGAAGCTTTATGCTCTCCAGACTGTCAAGATTGTGAAATAATTAGCCAGCTCACAAGCATGCCAGAAAACTTTTGGTGACTGGTTAAAATGATGTGTCCTACTCTTGTTAAGAGAAGATCTGGGGGGAAAAATTTATTGGTGTCAGTATTACAGAAACAGGTTCTTTTCATAGGAAATCAAGTTTATATAAAGGAAAGGCTTGGAATATGGAGAATAAAGTGTATTGAAAGTATTCATGACACATGCTTGAAATAATGTATCAGTTTAAGAGGAAGTTTTGAGACTAATCAGTGCCATAAAATGTCTATTTTAAATAGTGAGGAGTTTAAGGAATGAATGTTAATTTAGTGAGCGTAGTAGGCATTGAACAAAAAGGTATGTTATATCAGAGACCAGATGACACATTATAAAGTGCCCCTTGAGGTTTTGTAGGTAAGGTTGAATTGACTTTTTCTCTTGAATCAGGGATTCATCCACTTCTGTATAAAGAATTCAGCATATCCTCAAATTATAACACTTACTGAATATATAGAATATGTTATGTATTTGTGGCTTAAATGCTAAAGGTTCTCTTCTAGCCCCCAAAGACAAGGGCTTCAGTCTGGCTCATTCCCAGCACACTAGGAATTTATATTTTTAAGTTCAGGTTCTTTTCTGGGGATCAGTAGAAAAAAGATCTTTGTACCTCTTGCTCCAAGAAGGTAGATGAGGTATGGTAGTCATATGTTCCCAAGACCTTCCACTGGAATATGTGGAATGGCCATCTAATTGATATAGCAATAGCTGATGTCAGTAGCATGTGTCTGCCTATGTGTGTTCACATTGGATAGGTTCAAGCATGGGTAGTCACGTAGGCTCAGATGAGACCTACAACATTTCCATAAATTAATCTTATTAGTCTGATAATTACCTTTTTAAGTTAGGAAAGCTTGAGGGTTTGAAGAGGCTGTCAACATCGCTATAATCTTGTAAAGGTATCAGTATTTGCAAGAAATTTAAGGGGGTATTTTCTAATTTAGATTTTTACTAACTGCAAAAGAACATTCGCCACAGACTTTGGACACACTTGACAAACTTAAAACAGACTAACAGTTGACCTACTGAGAGCACTACCCCAGCAACACCAAGCTTACTACTGCAGGAGGGGGTCCCTGCCCTTCCCCAATTATAGCCATTATGTCTCTGCTATAGCTCTAATGTCAATCATCTTGTGTTTGAGGAATGATAATCATGGAAGTGTTTAGGACATTAAAGGCCCCTTGTGTTCCTCTCTCTTCAGGCCATTGATGAGCCTCCATATTTGACAGTGGGCACTGATGTGAGTGCTAAATATAGAGGAGCCTTCTGTGAGGCCAAGATCAAGACAGCAAAAAGACTCGTCAAAGTCAAGGTATGTAGTTTTCCTGTTAATTTTTCAGAAAAATTCATGGATATTGTGAATGTCATAACATGCAGATACACTTTACTCATGATACACTCACGGGGTTTAGTCACATCCATTACTCAACTCCCCTTCCATGCTGACTGGCATTGAAAAAAAGTGCGGCATTAGGGCTCCTGCATGTGCTACCTAACCATCCCTTCAGGAGCATCATGCCTATTTCTCTTCTTCAGGCAGTGTCTTCAGTCGCTCTTCCTGTGATGCTCCTTTATGCCTGCCTCCCACACTGTGGCCCCTAAAGCCACAGGCTGGTTGTACAGGTATAGTCTTAGGACTTGTCTAAGCAAACAGTGTGTGGTAAGTTGGGAAGTAAATGTGCCTCATACTAGCTTGCCAAGCCCTAGAGGTCTGAGTGGACCCTGCTGGTGCTCATTAAAGGTTTCCCCGATGTATTTTATCTACTTCCACTGTGAAAGACATGCTTTTACATTGCAACTTGCCATGTACTAACTGTTCAAATAGACAAGCCTTAAGATGAGATGTAGTTCATTTTACAAGTATCCTGGGGTAGCCATGTTAGTCTGTATCCACAAAAACAACAAGGAGTCCAGTGACACCTTAAAGACTAACAGATTTATTTGGGTATAAATAAAACCCACTTCTTCAGATGCATCGAGTGAAAATTACAGATGCAGGCATTATTATACTGACACATGAAGAGAAGGAGAAGAATGTGTCAGTATAATAATGCTTGCATCTGTAATTTTCACTCCATGCATCTGAAGAAGTGGGTTTTTTACCCACGAAAGCTTATGCCCAAATAAATCTGTTTAGTCTTTAAGGTGCCACCGGACTCCTTGTTGTTCATTTTACAATTATTTTTCCATAGGTTTAAGGCAGTGCTTTTTAGGAACACATGACTTTACCATCTAGCAGACTACTACTGCTTCAGAGAAAGGGGAAGCCTCTTCCGTCTTCAGATGAAGCATCTAGTTAACTGTTAAATGCTATTCATATGTGGACAGGAATTCCTTCCTGATCCCTAAGCTGCCCAGTTGATAATTGACGCAATCAGTATAAATCAGATACAGTCTATCTGCATGTTGTAGAGGGAATACTCGGTATAGTTTTTAAAGACTATTATAAACTAGTTAAAATACAACTAGAAGTATACAGGGCAACTTCTGGACTTGTCTTGAGCAGTTAAATCTATTATCGATCATCTAAGTTTGTATGTTTGAATAACAGTACCAGGAAAGTGCCTGCTCAAGTTTTCTTATCCATGCCTATGAAAAACCCAGTGGAGAAAGCTAGGAGGGATCAAGAATTAAGGAAAACTCAGCACTGTAATACTATCTGTTGCTAAATTGCATCTGAGCTATTGTGACAAAACACTTTATTGAATAACGAATCTTCAAGAAAATATTTTTCACACTATAGCTCAGCTGAAATCTAAGAGCATGATATTACAGTACTGAGCTTTTCCGTAAGTGCTCTTAATCCCTGCTAGATCCCTCCATTGAGTTGCCTGGTTGTAATAAATGAAACACCAAAGTAAGTTTTCATCGTTGTTGTTGTAGTGAGCACTTGACTGTTTCCTGCTATTACTGACTTGGATTATAAAGTGTTTGACTCCAGTTGCATGACTTAGCTCTGTATAGACAGCCATTGCCTTAGGCTCTCAGCTGGTGTCCCCTCCAGGTTCCCTAAGCATTTAATATAATTTAATAGCTTAGATATTCTGTAAAAGGAAGCTACCTTCAGTATGAACAAACAATGAGTGGAAAGTGTAAACTTACACCTTATTAGGGCCAGCTCTAGGCACCAGTGTAGGAAGCAGGTGCTTGGGGCGGCCAATGGAAAGGGGCGGCATGTCCGGGTCTTCGGTGGCAATTCGGCGGTGGGTCACTCTCGGAGGGAAGGGCCAGCTGCCGAATTACCGCCGAAGAATGAAGCGGCATGCTAGAGCTGCCGCCGATTGCGGCTTTATCTTTTTTCTTTTTTTTTCTTCTTTTCCTTTGCCGCTTGGGGCGGCAAAAAAGCTGGATCCAGCCCTGACCTTATTGATCTGTATGAAATGATAGACACCGGAAAGGCAGCGAGGGTGGGACACAGTGAGACCCACTAACCTGTGCTATGAAGACCTTCCATAAAAAGTTATCACAAAATGGATTTTATGGCCTGAAGATTACCTGAAGCATCTCCTTGAAGTGGTAGAATAAGTCTTTCTTGCCTCTATCTTGTTTTATTAACATCAGAAAACATCCACCACCTGCCCCAGTTAAAATTTTAATAAAACTTATACAAGAACTACAAGGACATTTTAATATGGATAATGTCAGGTTCACATAGGCTGAGGCAGAATTTAACACAAGGGGCAATAGAGGTGTACTAACTTATCTTTATGGTCTGAACTACCATGATTGTTAGCTTCTTGGGGCAGTGACTGTCTCTTCACTACCCATTTATGCAGTCTAGGACAATAGAGTCCCAGTACCTATTTGGGACCTTTAAGTGCTACAGCAATACAAGAAGTTAAAATAGACTAAAGTAAAACAGTGATGTTCCTAAGTCTATTTTAAGTTTGAGATGTTTAACAAATAAGGAATTTTAAAAGTTCTTTAATCTAACAGTGACCCCTAATTTCCCCAAAATTTATTCAACTCTTTCTGGCACACTTTTGATTTTTCAAGATTTTCAGATGACACTTGGGCCATATGGGAATTTTTCATCACCAACTCAGTGCTTCTGAAGTTTTTGGTAGCTTGCTTGCTGCATATTTCCCCACCCCCAGTTGTTTGTAGCCTCTACTCCAGTCTCCTATCACACATAAGGGAGTCATCTTCATTTTACCAGGGAAATCAAAATTATCTTTATAACATGAATTTTAACTTGCAGATTCTGTTTAAATGTCATCAGCATGGTCTATTTTACATAATTCATGTAGGAAGAGCAACAGGCTTTTCAGGACTAGAAATGACTTACTTGATATAGAATAAGTAGTTTTAGCTGTTCTCTTTTCCTCTCCATTTAACTTAGTGGTCTATTTCTAGAGGCGGTTGTACGGTCTTGTATAAAAAAAATCCTACATAAAAGGCACAAGAACTTAACATAATTTAAGTTTTTCAGCAAAGAACCGTTATTTCTGCATCAACTTCCATTCAACTCAGTAAACTGAATTAAATATTAAAGCAAATAATCAATTCGGTATTTTTTGTTAGTATTGAAATCATTTTTAGAATGTCGCACTTTTACACTTCCCCCAAGTCTTACGGGTGCTACAGAATTTTGTAACAGTGCAATCGTATTATGAAAATTGAAGTGGGAGACAGCTGAGATTTGGAGCAGTTTGGACTTCTAAAAGGTGTAGGAGGCAGTGAAGTTTCATGGTTCAGGAAGCAGAGGCTTTTGGAATGGAAATGGTGGCTCATTTCTTCCCCCCCTCCCACCAGATAGTGTTGGGCATGTTAGTTTTACCCAGCGAATATGGCAGTTCTCCCCTCTTTACCTTATCCCCAATATAAACCGCTGCACCCAAAGCTAAGCATGTTAGTTGAATGTTTTAGTGATCATTTTTTAAATAGTTATAATATGTAAATAATCTTGATTAGGCTTCAGTGAGTGCCTAATTAAGATGAGTAAAGGCAGTTCATACTTTGAGCTATTTTTCCAGCTAGTTCAGTTACAGACTTGACACACCATTGCCCAAGTAATTTCCTTCCCAGCAGTAAAGGCTAGAAACTTAATTTTTTTTTAAAAGTTAGATTTTTTTCTTCCAAAATCTCTGGCAATGGGTGGTTGTTTCTTTAACTAGTTTGTTAGCATTAGACACAAGACCTATGTGTATGGGTATGTGTGACAGGGTTTGAGGGTGTAAATCCAGGCCAATAAGAGGTTGTATCACCACTTGCTACTCTTTGTGCCTCTCAGTGCTTTGCTGCTATAGCTCCCAGCCTGGGATGCTCATAACCACCCTACAGGCATGCAGATCACAGCTCGAGTGTCTGTGTGCTAGACAGCCCTGGTTCAGCAGCTCTGACCCCAGCAGCCTGTCTACAGTCCTACTTTGGCTTCCACCAGCCTTGGTTACAACTGCAAGGTGACCCCCTCTCTCCCCCCTGACCCAGATTTCCCCAAAATCATGTGCTCTGCGATGTCCAACCCTCTCCCAAACAGTTTAAAGGAACAAACAAACCATGTTATTTCTCTGAAGACACAAAAGCATATCACTTTTCAATAACTTAATTGGGGTAAATATGCCCCTTCATTTAAATAGTGCACTGAGTTGGTTTATAGTAAAAATAAAATTTATTAACAACAGGACATAGGTTAAGTGATGCCAAGTAAAAAAGAATAAAGTTAGAAAGGGTTACAACCCCCAAAAAAGTGAAAACATGCATCTAAAAGTCTGAAACTTAATCTAGCAGAATACAGGCTTTGTGCAAGATGGCTTCTCTCACCAGTCTCCCTTCTTCCTAGCCATGGCTCACTTTCTCTCACAGTCAGGAAGTTCCACAAAAGCACAAGGGGCTGACTTCTCTTGTCTTCCTAGGTGAAAAGATCTTTGCCTAAACAGGTTTCTTACCTATATTTAGTTCCAAAGACTTCAACCCCCCTTTGGTTGAAGGACCCATCTTTCTCAGTTCCTAAGAGTGCTGTTCCCTTGTGTCTGTCTAGAAATGGATGCCAAAGAGCTAAGGGTGAACCATTCAAGAAATATGTTTGCTGATGATGTTTTAAAGAAAGTCCCTATTCCATGATGAAATATGTTTGAGCTATAATGTATCTTAATTAAAACTATATTTAGATAGGTTTTTTCCTCAAAAAGCATTTTATCAAAAAAAATCCAATTTAAATTAAAAAATCCAATTTTTAATTTTTTTTAAATCATTTGATTTTTATCCACCCTGCTTATCTTCCAAAGTTAAGTGACTTTTTTTCAAGAGGCAGGATGATCTCATGTTGTTTTTTCCTTCTCATGGGCTTCCCATCCCCTGCAGATAAATGGAGCTTCCATTGTTTGATGCCACCATTCTTAATTTATATAGGAGACAGGTAAATAGCTGTCTTCTCTCCTGTCTGGGAAGACTGTGCAACCAAATATCAGTGAATATCCATAATTCTTTATATGGTGTTAATACATACAATTCACGGTATTAATCATCAGCATGTCATAGGCTGTAAGAAGGGACCATCCCCTAGCTGTATAGACTATTAAATCTTTACAACATATTCTTTGAAAGATAAAACCCAGACCAAACCTCTCTCTCTCCAGCTAGGTGTAGACACCATGCTGTCTCCTCCCCCATTTGTTAGTATGAGATTTGCCTCCATCGCTTGTTAGCTTGATGGGTCTGTTCAGGTAATATGTAAATACGTTGTCATGGTCTTTCAAAGTACTTTGGAAGTAACTCCCAGGTTGGGAAAACACATTTCTTTGTCTAGTTCACACCTGTTTACCAACTCCTCCTGGCATTCCTGGTTTAAAACACACTTCAATCATAATTCTAGTATATATTCATAACTAAGGCTATGTTTTAGTCATGGGTATTTTTAGTAAAAGTCACAGACAGATCACGGGCAGTAAACAAAAATTCATGGCCTGTGACCTGTCCATGGCTTTTACTATATACCCCTGACTAAAACTTGGGGGGGAGGGTCAGCGCGCGGCCTGGAACCCCCGCTGGTGCTGGGGGGTGGGGGGTTGGGGTTGGCGGGGCCGGCAGGCTCCCTACCTAGTTCAGCACCTCCCCCTCCCCAGCAGCAGCAGAATTTGGATGTGGGAGGGGCAGGGGGTTGGGGCACGGGAGGGGGTGAGGCGGGCTCTGGGTGGCGTTTTCCCGGGGGCTCCCCAGAAGCAGTGACATCCCCCTCGCTCAGCCAATAAGGGGAGGCACGGCCAGGAAGCTCTGCATGCTGCCTCCACCCAGAGCACTGGCTTCACATCTCCTATCGGCTGGGAACCACAGCCAATGGGAGCTGCAGGGGCGGTGCCTGCAGGCGGAGGCAGTGTGCAGAGCTGCCTGGCCACACCTCCATCTAGGAGCTGAGTGTGGGGGATGTTGCTGCTTCTGGGGAGTCCCCCAGGTAAGCGCTGCTTAGAGCTTGCCTCACCCACTCCCATCCCCAACCCCCTCCACACCCAAATTCTGCTGCTGGGGTGGAGGGGGCGCAGTGGCCAGAGACTGCTGCTGCAAAAGTCACAGAGGTGACGGAAAGCCACAGAATCTGTGACTTCCATGACCTCCGTGACAAACTCACAGCCTTATTCATAACTCTTAATACCCACAGCATACATACATTACACAAGAATACTAATGATCAGTGAGTTATTAGTTTTTAAATGATACCTCAAGGCATATTTTGTACAAAGATGATTACAGTTGTATGTATGCTGTGAATACAGGGGTGCTTAGTGTCAAGGTGCCAGTCCAGTGACGCTCAGCATGAAGAGTCAGAATGCAAAGTAGTTTTATTCACCTGAACTATACATTTCTGGGCTTCATAAAGTCTATTTAAATGTTTTAATGTTTGCAGTTTAGAAAACTGCACTACTCATGATTTCCTACCCACCAAAAAAAAAATTAACTCTAGCTTACCTAAGTATTTTCCCCCTGAGCAACGTATGAATGCATGCATAGAATAAAGCATTGTTGCCTTACACCCAAACCAGTCCTCCAAGAAGTTTGCATGGTATTTACCTTTAAAAGAACAATGACAACTTAACACTCCTCTGAAAGTTTACCTAGGCTTTGTCTACCCTACACAGCTTTTAGCGTAAAAGTTGGGCAGTGTAAGTGCCGACAAAATAATTCCACCCCCACCGAGCGGGGTTCGCGTTGTCAACAGGAGAGTGCTGCTGGCAGCAAAACTTTTGTCTTTTGGGTGGGGCTTTTTTTAAGTGGCAGTGTAGGCAAAGCCTGACTGTTAAAAGTGACGCTTAAGATCACCAACTGAGAGGCTAGAGAATTCTGTTCAGCTTGTACATTTGACAGCATGTTGTCTATAGCCACTTTTACCACTTCCCTGCAGAGTTTCCTCTGTTTTACATGTATCTTTCACTCAACAATGGGGAGAGAAACAAAAGTGAGATTGTAGAACCATAAACAGGCCAGGAGTACAATCTGAAGCTGTTTTTTTAAAGTTATAAATTTAAATAGAACCATTGCTTTAAGGACTATGTTTTGGGTCTAAATATGTTGATTTTATCCTTTTATTTGACTGATCAACCATTTTAGATGGCACCAGTTAAAATCTTTATGCAAAGTTTGTTTGTTTTTACAGCGTTTCTTTGCATCAAGGTCACTTGCAAAATAACTTCTTTGAAGTGTTTAAAGTTATCTTGTAAAACAAAAATATCTGAGTGACAGAGCTTCAGCAAATTGAACAGCTACAGGAGGCTGGTTGAATGCAAGATGAGAATTAGAGAAAAAGGAGTGCTTACGCTTTCATGTACTTACGCTGCTCAACTGTATCAAGTGATTGTTAGTTGAATTATATTTTCTAGGTAACATTTAGACATGATTCTTCAACAGTGGAAGTGCAGGATGACCACATAAAGGGCTCGTTAAAGGTAATACATTTTTTGAATTTCAGTAGAATTCAAAGTCATTTATCAAAATGTGTTGATAGTTATGTCTATCTAAGGTTACACTTTTTTCTTTTTTGGGAATACTGATTAGGAAGGTAGAAGTCTTTCTATAGGGATGAGAATTTAAAGAGTTTTTAAATATGTAGGGTATGATATGGAAATCTGTGGCTGGTCTGAACATACAGTCCTGCCATGACATAAGCCCGTTCCATTGCCCATTGCAAAGAGCGAAACCCAGCACTGCCAGTGTAGAGTGACAAGGTATAAAGGTCATTCGTTTAGCAGATTCCCTGCTAACCACAGGGAGAAGATTAACAAGAAACTACCCATCACCCTGAATATTAAGTAGTTTTAGCCGATTCATTTAAGATTTCTACCCTGCTACCAGGGGAGAAAACAAAGCTGGTTCCTCAGTTTAAGTGCTTGGTCACAAATCTTTTTTGACCAGCTTGCAGACGTTTTGGTGCAAATCACACCCAATTTCCGTTTTTATGTGGGCTCCTTAAGAACATGAGGGATGTCCCTGTTTCCCTGGAAAAATCTTAAAGCCACACCTATTAGTTCCCCATTTTATTTTCTACCAGATCAAGAGATGTTAAATTGATAAGTCAATGTTAAATTGATTTTAGTATTCACAGGCATTTGCACTAGTTTAAACCTGTCCTTACAGATTTTAGAATCTATATCAACTTTGTTTAGTTCAGCTCTAAATGCTCTCTAATTATGAAAGTAAATCATGTTTATTCACAATTTTTAATAGGGTTGGGTCTGCCAGCATGGCGAGAACTAAGACTGACATGCTTATGCCCTAACTTTTGTTGAAGCTTTGTGCATATATACTGAGCCAGAATTGAGAATTGGCATGTCACAAGGCTTGAAGGTTTTTAAACACTGAAAAAGTCTCAGATATCATTCAGAGGCTGGATGTCAGCAAACTAGCCAGCTTTCTGGCTAAAGATGATGCAGAAACAATCAATCAAACTGCTTACCAAGGATCATATACTGGTCACCAACCTTGCAAGAGGAACCAGGCCAGTAATCCTAGGTGAACATGACACATTGATCAGTTGAATTTTTAAAAACTGAACAGTGCAACAAGACACTCTAAGGGCTTCCACACTACAGGCAAGGAATTTTAAAGAAATAGGTCTTGTTGACTATTTTACTGAGTTAGTTTACTCAGTTGTTACTAGAAGTAAAGACTTTTATAGTAGTGGGAGAATTAACTTATGTTTTCGGGATGGGACTTTTGTAAGAAGTACAACTATGACCACTTGCCAAAGTTTAAGTACAGGAATTTGTCAAAATATAAAATACATATTAGTCACATTCTTTCAACTTTAATATTTCAGTGTAAACCAGTTTATATGGACTTCAGGTTTCAAATACCAATTCAGGTAATCAGATAATCTTCCTCTTGAAGCCTTTAGTGACAGCTTTTCTAAAAGAAGATCCTACTGGCTCAGATTTTCCAGTTAAGTGTAGTTTGATGAAAGGAAAACTGCTTCTTACCTCTACCTCATCGGGCCTACACCTCCCTCTCTGTGTTCAACAAAACACAGAAGCAGATAGGATTGTAAAGGGAAAAATAAAAGTGGACTGAAGGCATGAGTAGTAGAGGAACAGTATTGAAGGAAGCTGCAAAGCAAAAATGGTTGACATGATTTGTCTTTTGCAAAGACTAGTGGGGAGAATAGGTTTATAGTGCTCTCGGTCTCTTAATCTTCATATTGCCTCCTTCCTCTGGAAGTGAAGGGGATGTGAGCTCTCAGTGCATAACTGATAGGCTTTTGCGCTTGAAGCTAAGAAGTTTGATTGGTTCTGGTTTTAGTCACTGTTGCTTTGGAAAAAACTCAGCTGGATGATTTGAACTGGCAAGCTGTTATACAAGAGAATGACATAACTCAAAACAGTTCTTATTCTCCACTTGCTGGCAGCAAAGAATGAACCATATTCAGTTATCTGGATTGGTTTGGAAAAATAAAGTAACAAATTTACAAATATAATTTTGAGCGAAGGTAAAAGGTAAAGTACATTTAACTGCGCTAAACTAGAAATTCAGTGTACCTGAGGAACACAAGGTTGGACCTGTTCTAAGCAAAGTATTTTTAGCATCTTACCCTAATTAACATTTGCTGATTTAAAATATTTTTTACAGTCCTAATTCAGATGAATTATCTGTTTGAAAGTTTTCAAAAGTTAAGTAGCTTTTATATTATTTTAGGTAGGATCTGTTGTAGAAGTAAAGAATCCAGATGGAACTTACCAGGAAGCTGTCATCAACAAATTAACAGATGCAAGTTGGTATACTGTAGGTAAGAGAAATGGATAACTATGTCCTCAAACTGGAAAGTACACATCAGAAAAACATCACCACTTATCCAAAGATTAGCAACACTCAGTCTGTTTTAAATTTGAGAAAATGCCTTTGGGCTATAAATGTATATCGAGAATATTCTCGGTGGGAAGTACTTAATAAAAACAAGATTTTGTATCTGTAGAAGCAGTTGCTTAACAGTGCTGCACACTTTTGTCGAGACAATTTGGTACTAGCATATGGACAGGCTTAAGTTCACGCTTTATGTACTGCAGGTAGTCCCATTTGAAGTCGATGGAACTGTGTAAAGTTAAGCACATGCATAAATCTTTACAGGATTAGCACCATATAGAAAATTACATACTTGAGTACTTTTAAATAGCAAATAGGTAAACACTAGACCAGTAGATAAAGTTATTCAAAGTTGAGTTGTCTCATATTTAAAGAGATTCACTCTCAAAAATGAGTTTTCTAACAAGATATACATGTTTTATTAGTCTAGAAAAGCAGTTTTCAAACTGTGGTACATATAGGTTGGTTTAATCAGAATAAGAATCCAGTCTAACTACACTGATAAATTGTGAAGGTGGTACACCAAATATTTTAGTTTTAGATGTGGTATATTAGGTTCTTGCTTGAGAACTATTGGTCTGGACTCTAGAATAATATGCTATATTGTACCTGCTTTTGAGGGTAGTTAGAAATAACTCCTGGTGATTTTAAGTATTACAGCAACTGCAGTAACAGTTTACAGTACTTATTTTCCCCTAGTTTAGAACGAAGATAAAAGCTATCATAGCTCCTTTTAAACAAGCACATAACAATGTTGACTCTTCCTTTAGTTTTTTCCATTATCTAATCAAGTCCTAAAAGATTTTTTTCGATGACTTAGTCGAAATGCCCTAGCAAAGCTTGCTTTCTGTATGCCCAGTTCAGATGGCCCTCGCTTTTCAGTGCTGTTTCCATGGCACGTCAACCAGTCTATGAGAGGTAGAAGGGTAGAGTACATGTAAAACTAGTTTTTCAGGTCTCAGGAAACAATACTCTCCTTAACATAGCCCGAAATATGGGAAAATTAAAAAGCACCAATTAAGGGTTTTTTAATTTTATTATTTATTTATTACTACAGTAACTCCTCGCTTAACGTAGTTATGTTCCTGAAAAATTCGACTTTAAGCGAAACGATGTTAAGCGAATCCAATTTCCCCATAAGAATTAATGTGAATGGGTGGGGGCGGGGGGGTTAGGTTCCAGAGAAATTTTTTTTCACCAGATGAAAGACTATATATATATATATATATATATATATACACACACACACACAGTATAATTTAAACTAAACTAATTAATACT